AAACCAAGAAACGTAGACTCTTGGTATTCATTACACATAAACTAGCGAGCCCCAGAATGAGAAACAAATTTTAATCATTATTATTGACGGATTAGTAAACTTTTTACACGCTTTGGAAAATCTCAGAAGTTCGCGGTAGTCACTTTTCGGTAAGGAACTAGGGGACTCGGTTATTGTATCGGGGGGGGGGGGTCGAAACGATCGCAAAGGCGGTATACTACGTATACGCGCCAAAAAGGTTTTTTTTGCTTATTATCTTGGCAGTTTGATGAAACTTTCCCCATATCACACACTAGAAACAAAACACATTGGATCAAGAGCCCAGACTCTTGAAAACATTGACAAGAAAAAATATTCTTGATTCAATCAGATTTTTGCCTGAATCGAAAGGAAATCCGCTCAAATTACGAGGCTTGGTTCTTGATTTAAGAAAAAATCCAACTGAATCAAGAGTATTTTTTCTTGTCGATGTTTTTAAGAGTCTGGACTCCAGATCCAATGTGTTTTTTTTCCCAGTGCATTCCACTTTCTCTGAAAAAAGTCAATTTTATTATCTCGGCAGTTAGATGAGACTTTCCCTACATCACGCACTGGAAAAAAAACACATTGGATCTAGAGCCCAGACTCTTGAAAACATTGACAAGAAAAAATATTCTTGATTCAATCAGATTTTTGCCTAAATCGAAAGGATATCCGCTCAAATTAAGAGGCTTGGTTCTTGATTTAAGAAAAAATCCGACTGAATCAAGAGTATTTTTTCTTGTCGATGTTTTTAAGAGTCTGGACTCCAGATCCAATGTATTTTTTTTCCCAGTGCACGTTCCACTTTCTCTGAAAAAAAGTCAGTTTTATTATCTCGGCAGTTAGATGAGACTTTTCCCTATATCACGCACTGGAAAAAAAACACATTGGATCTAGAGTCCAGACTCTTGAAAACATTGACAAGAAAAAATACTCTCGATTCAATCAGATTTTTGCTTAAATCAAAAGGCAATCCGCTCAAATTGAGAGGCTTGCTTCTTGATTTAAGCAAAAATCCGATTGAATCAAGAGTGTTTTTTCTTGTCGATGTTTTTAAGCGTCTCGACTCTAGATCCAATGTGTTTTTTTTCCAGTGCACGTTCCACTTTCTCTGAAAAAAAGTCAATTTTATAATGTTTTCAAAATAGCACACCTCATTAGTATTAATGTAAAACTAGAAAGCACTTTTTTGGTTCCGAACAGCAAAGTGTAGTCCAATTTGCATCAGTGGCGTGGCGTGCTTTGCGATCTATCGATATTTCCCCATTTGAAGCTGTGGTAAATAATCGATTATTAAGGTGTTCGCTGCGAACACCCTGTTTATCGATATGTTAACCCCTGTTTTATATTTTAACTTTTGATGACCGTCCGTTACGATACAGATAGGTTTCTATTTGATTTTTACATGGGAACGTTAGTTCCCTGTGACTTTTAAATCGTTCCGCCCGTTTCCCTATGTTACGACTTGATGGATCTCTACGACGAAACGACGAGTCTGATTTTTGGTTCATTTTTGATCTCATCAAAACCTTTGTTTCTTTAAACCAATCACGTCTTCACGTCACTACTTTTTGTCGAGTTGTAGCATTCTCTCTCCACGAGTTGTCTTTTTCACAAGTCCTTCTCACTGACCGGTGTATCTGCGCAGATCTACGTTTCCACGTCTTGTAGCAAAATTTTTTTTTCATGGCCAGTTTTGATTGGTCGTTTTATGTTATCAATTTTTTATATGTAAATGCAAATATTCGCCTCGTTCTAATCTGCAAATCATCATTCTTCGTTGATTTACCTTACTCAGTCTTACCTTCTACTTGTATCTACTTTTAATTGTGCCTGGTTTGGTGATGACTGGACAAATAGGACCCATGCCTTCGTCCCAGGTGGAATAAAAAGAAGAATTGCAAAACAGATTATTGTATAAACATATTTTATTTGATTTTAAAATCTTTAAAATAGTTACATCTTCTACATAATCAAAAATTCAAACGAAACTTTCCATTGATAATTTTGCATTCTGGAAGTTTAGCACGGGTTTTATTTTTATGCTTCAAATTCATTCTGAGACATCTTTCCAACGTCGCCAAAAGCGTGTCAAACAAAATAATAATTTAACACCAGCCGCGCTAGTAAACGCCAACACCGGTGCAACTACCACTGTTGTAGCCACCGCATCCACAGCCAAAATACCCATTACAGTTGTTACATCTGTATCCGCAGCCTCCACACGTACCGCTTCCGCAATTTCCGCAGCATGATCCTCCGTATCCGCAATTTCCGTAATAGCCTGGATAGAACCCGCAAGTTGTACCGTAATTGCTGCAATATCCACACGGCGAGTATCCAGTCCCGCAGTAACTGGATCCACACAGCGAGTATCCAGTCCCACAGTAACTGTTCCCATAGTATCCATAGCCACCTCCACACGAGGCCGCGACGGTGGCGATCATGACGGCCAAAGCTAGAACCACGACATTGAATTTCGACATTTTTAGATTTTAATTTACTTCAGGTCGTTTTTCAGGAGAGATGGAAAACTTGAGTGTGACTATTACAGAGCTTGACTGGTGTTTTATACTCGATGGACGAAGGGTCGCCTTGAGGTGCCATTTACTCTCTCCTAAGACGAGCTTACGTTTCAATTGTAAGTTCTGCCCTAGGAGAACAAAAAGCTTGGGAGTAAGGAAGATAAGATGCGTAAAAAACCACGCTCGTTTATTCCTCTGAGTTGAGCTTTCAATTTTGAGGTGTTATTTTCCCTCAGGCGAGCAAAAAACAAAAGCACGAATGACAACTAGGCTTGTGGGCTGATAAAGTGCGTGAACGACACGACTTACACTTTCATCATGAGCTTCCGTTTGAGTCGCGCTTTTTTGGTTAGAGAAACATAGACTTGAAAGTAATAATGGCTGGTCGTGGGTCTTCAAGTCTGATAAGAGGCATAAACGAAGCAGGAAAATATATTGTTGTTAGTTTCCAAGTGAGGAGTGTCAGCGGTCGTTTCATTGGTAACTAAGTAACTATGTACTAACGTAAATAAGGAAAATTTGAGAGTAAAATAGAAGAAGAAGGAAAGCATGTCCGCGGTTCGAATGCCTCATGGAAAGCTCGAAGCTGCGTTGATCAGGTGGCGCTCTTTGTGACTTGACGGCGAGACACGTGCTTTCCTACATCAACATTCTGAGGTAGTACGGTTTCGTTGTTGCCAATGGAGATGTTGCATGTGTGAGAAATTTGCGATTTGACTGTTGATTCTTATGTAAAAGTTCGCAAGAAACACGATGTGGCCGCTGGTTTTCTCTGAAATTAACTCTCAAGCTCAAAAGAAGCTCTCAAGTTGAGGCCGAAATGGAGGGGATATCCCACGCTATCCTGAGAGTCCACTTCTACATCAAAACAAACTCTCCATGCAAAGATAGGGAGCAAATACATTAGCAGGGTTGCCGTGTTTTCAGTTTTAGAGTCCCCGAATAAAGTGGCAGCCCTGTCAATGTATATGCTCCCTATCTTTGCATGGAGAGTTTGTTTTGATGTAGAGGTGGACTCTCAGGGTTGGGTGGGATATCCCTTCCATTTTGGCCTCACTTTGAGAGCTTTTTTTGAGCTAGGGAGATGATTTCAGCAAAAACCAGTGGCACCATCGTGTTTCTCGCAAACTTTTACATAAGAAGCAACAGTTAAATCGCAAGTTCCTCACACATGCAACATTTCCATTCTGCCAGAAAAAAGTTAAACGTTACTATATACTGGTACAGGTAACCATTCTTCTGGCAGAATCGACTTTGAATTCACGCTGTGTGAAATACAGCGTAAAGGAATCGTAAATTCAACCAATCTTCTTTTCCAGTGCATACTTTATTGTAACATTATGTAATTAATCCCTTTGACTTTGGCGTTTTTTGTGTGTGCAGGGACAGATCTAGCGATGGCGATTTCGACGAAGATGTCTCGACCAATTCCTCAGATCACATGGCTCATATTTTGGCCCCCCTAACGCCTTCTTCTGATGAGTATGACCAGTCACCATACTCTACTCAATACGTAAGAGAATTCAATTTACGTTTATTGAAACATACCCTTTTATTCCTCCTATTATAGTCTCGATGTACCCCTATTATTCCATATAACCCTTACGCACTAGGATGCTTCACAAATTTCAACATGGCCGACGCCAACCCGCCAAAACACATTCGTTGAGACGGGATTTTATTAAACAGGAGTCTCGTTATTTTTTTAAATCTATTTGTTATAAATCAATAATTGCAAAACGAGGCCGTGACGTCAGAATGTATTTGTATGGCTGTATTGGTTTATGGATTCATTTGATGTCAGCATCAAATCGATAAATTTAAAATAGATGCACTATTATCCGTTTGTGATAATTATTCTTAAATTATGTGGTCTTGACAACAGCATCAAATCGATTAATTTAAAATAGATGCACTATTATCCGTTTGTGATAATTATTCTTAAATTATGTGGTCTTGATAAACTGAAAGCAGAGTGACGAGTTTTTCTAAAATTTTTCCTTCAAACCTGAGTCGGAAATGAGGTAGTAGTGATATTTGCGAAGCAATGAAACTATACGAGACGGAGCGTTTCGTCGCTTTTAGGTAGTCTGTAAGCAAAGGAGCACCTTCGATCCACGCACCCAACTAACAGACCAAGATTCAACATTTTCCGCTTAGTTCAATTTTCCGCTACATTTGAAATTCCCGCCATTTTTCATTGGCGAGAATTTCAAATTTTGCCCTCCTTCATAAGCTTCCTGGTCTACTCTTATAGAAAAAAAACCTGGGTCTTTTTTTCAAATTCTGAATGTAGCGGGCTCATCTAGGGCCAATCGCCTGTTAGTAGCCGCAAAATCGTGGAAATCGGCCCAGTAGAACATTCAAAAGAACTAAACAAACAAACTATGACAAAAAATAAACATTTACATTGTTTACATGGGAGAATTCGCAACTTTATCACGTAATGTAGAAAAAACCTGCGTCATATTTTGAAATCTGAATAGAGCGGGCTCATTTAGAGATAATTGCCTGTCGATAGCCGCAAAAATCATGAAAATCGGCCCGGTAGAACGCTGGAACTAAGCGTTACCAGGTACGCAAATTTAGGAGGTCTTGGAGCTCATAGTATAAGAGGATATAAAGATAACAAGATAACACACAAAATCTAAAAATGTGTCAAACTAGTGACTTATTGACAGAAATGATAGAAGTGGATGCGTATCGCACGACAAAAATACAATCATTTGATGATGTTATATTTATGGATGTTCTGAACTGCAATCGTAAATAATATATAGACGGTAATCATTCTCTTTTGCAGACTAAAACTTCATTAAATTCTGGCAATGGGCATCCAAATGCCCGGCGATGTTTAGTTTGGGCATGCAAAGCGTGTAAGAAAAAAACAGTGACTATAGATAGGAGAAAAGCTGCAACAATAAGAGAGAGGAGAAGACTTCGTAAGGTAAGTCGAACCAATTCTTCTCATATACTACCCCGTGTGTGCTAAGGAAGAGCGCCGTAAGATTCTCCAGACGTTGTCATATATCCGTCAAAAAAATTATTTACTGGGAAAATTAAAAATATTTTCCTCGAATTTTCCAGAATTTTTTTTTTTGAGTGAATGTCGGTTTGCCGCACAAAATCTCTACCAAAACACCCGGATCTTTCAATGATGTTTTGCCAATCAACAAAAACTGCACGAGAAAAATTTTTGAATACAATTAGGAGTAACCTCTCTCAGATACTGACTGAAAGCTAAATCGCGAGCATTTTATCTGGATCAAAGAGAAAAACCAGAGGTAATAATTGAATGGTTACAGAAGCAAATCCTAAAAATTAAAAAGAGGTTTAGACAAATTTTGTGTATGGAATCTGCATTTTTTCTTTGTTATAGGTAAATGAAGCATTTGAGATACTTAAGCGAAGGACCAGCTCAAATCCAAACCAAAGGCTTCCAAAAGTTGAGATTCTTCGAAACGCCATCGAATACATAGAATCCTTAGAAGATATTTTAACCTCAAGTAGACCTAAATTGAAAATGAATCAGGATGTGTACGCTGACTACGAATATCTGGTAAGCAATTGTATGTCCACTTTCTCAACTTTCTTGAAGAAGAGGGATTCTATCGGTGGAAGTGGGTGGTTAAAATGGACAAAGAAGGTAGGTAATAGACTAACTAACGGCCACCGACAAGAGACCCTTTAGCTAGTCCTTAATATTCCGCCATTCAACCAATGGGATCGCTCCATACTCATGCCTTCATTGTCTATAGCTTTGTCTATCAACTCCAATAATCAACCCGCTGACTTCTCCCGTTATAAATTCATCTTAACCAAACCTGAAGAACCATTCTTGAATTTTCTCGACAGGAGCGGGATCCGAAATTGTTCACTATCTTGCCCCTGCATTCTTGAGAGTAGGCTACCGGAGCGTCGCGGGATATTTTTGGCCGCGGGTTCATAGTTTAATTGCGCAATTTAAGAGCGGATTAATTAACATGCGGAAAATGGGGGGAAGGGGGGGGGGGGGAACGAGGCTAATCCTCAAATATTTTATCACATCGCGCGCCCCGGCCGTTTGGAAGGTCCAGACGCGGGACAAACTAACGACTACTAACAAACGCACGCGTTGCCGAATTGTGCAGCAAAAATATTCTGATTCCGCTCTGTAACGAATGGAGATGTTGCATGTGTGAGGAATTCGCGATTTGACTATTGATTCTTATGTAAAAGTTCGCGAGAAACGATGATGCCACTATTTTTTTCTCTGAAATTAACTCCCAAGCTCAAAAAAAGTTCTCAAGTTGAGGCCAAAATGGAGGGGATATCTCACGCTATCCTGAGAGTCCACCTCTACATCAAGACAAACTCTCCATGCAAAGATAGAGAGAAAATACATTGACAGGGCTGCCACTTTATTTGGGGACTCTAAAACTGAAAACACGGCAACCCTGCTAATGTATTTGCTCCCTATCTTTGCATGGAGAGTTTGTCTTGATGTAGAGGTAGACTCTCAGGATAGCGTGGGATATCCCCTCCACTTTGGCCTCAACTTGAGAACTTTTTTTGAGCTTGGGAGTTGATTTCAGAGAAAACCAGTGGCACTATCGTGTTTCTCGCGAACTTTTACATAAGGATCAATGGTCAAATCGCAAATCCCTCACACATGTAACATCTCCATTGAAGATTCTTAATCGTTCAATGTGGCAAAATTTCCGGGATCCCAGGTAGCGTTTTTTAACGGAAAAATCGCGATTTGTTGCGATTTTGTCGGCGATAAAATCGCTAAGATCATCAACATCTGAGCGATTATCCTCGATCTTGTTGCAAGAAAATCGCGATTTTATCGCCCGGCAATTTAGCGCGATATCATCGCGACAAAAATCGCGATATATGGCGATTTAATCTTGATTTTATCGACGAAAATTGATCGCGATTTTATCGAACAAAAAATTGCGATCCACAGCGATTTAATCGCCATTAATCGCAATTTTTTATTCGATGATATTGCGATAAATTACCACCGATGTAATCGCGATAATCAACCAGTAAAATCGCTGTTTATCGCGATCACTGCTACTTGGGATTGGGTATGATTTTTAGCCCTGGATAGACGATCAAATTCCCGAACTAATTCCGATCAAAGTAGCATCAAAGTGTCGGGAGTCATCAGTCTTAAACTCATTAATTTGCTTCATTTTAAAATGAAAACTTGGCAGAAATGTTTCCTGTGGCAGGAGATGATGAATGGTGACACTCCGTACTGATCTTACTTTGAACAAAAAAGTGCGGCCCGTCAAAATTTGATGATAGATGGTGACCACCAGTCATCAGCATGTCTACTTTGATCAGAATTGGTTCGGAATTTGGTCGTCTATCCACGGCTTTCCATTGAGCTTCATCTACGATGGTAAACTTGTCCCGAATTTCGGTCGCATGGTATTTTCAAACAAACTGACAAATGTTGGTTTGAAAAGCTAATTTCAGCTCATTGTCAGTCAAAACACGGGACTAGAGTACATATCGACGGTGAAACTACCAAACCACGTATCTCGTTTGCGGTGTTTAAAAATCTACGCTTACATTTTATTTTTTTGAAGTAGACCAAATCAATATCATACCTTGAAATTTTCACGGAATTTTCTCCACACAAAGAGGAAAAATCACAGAAATTCTCAAGACTGGGTGTTAAGTAGTTTTTCATTTAAAAAATAAAGTACGACAGGAAGTCTGCGACGTCGCAAACCGAGATACGTGGTTTGGTAGTTTCACCGTCGATATGTAAGGAGAGCACGGACATGTTGAAATATGAAGCTCTTAGGGCCCAAAAAGGCAGCCGAACTTCTAACAAAAAAAATATCACCGGTCAAATCTGAAGGTTGACCCTTCAGATTCCAATATCAAGCCAAGATGGCCAAAAATGCTCATAAATGAGTAAATTTATGCCAAAATAAGTCAGAAACTTTGTTTACAAACGACGGGTCGTAACAATAATTGTAAGAATAAATCACTCTGGGTAATTTGAATTCATAGGTTGTCTGACCCGTTGGGACCTGAAAGCTCCATGACCTAAACTCATAATTACCGACGCAATGTGTCTGTAATCTTCCGATATGGGTACTCAAAAATGGGCACACGTTGATAACGTCTCCTAGTTGAGTGTCACTCGTTCCGCAAAGTTCGCCTTCAATAATCGTGATGGCAATATTAGCGTCTTGGGAGCTCGAACAGTTGCATGCAATATTCTTGCCTCAGTCTCAATAAGGAACACACGTTGACAGTGTTCCTTCGCTGAGCGTCACACACTCCGTCGAGTCCGCCTCCAATAATCGTGATGGCAACATGAGCTACTTTGAGACCACGGACGAGGCCAGCGCAAAAAATCATGGGAAAGTGGCAGCTTTTCATGAGTTTTAGAGGAACGACGTTTTCTCCAAAAATCTGGGGGGGGGCGAAGTTACAACGGGGGGCACTTTTGAAATATACTTTACAAAGGAAAGAGTTCTTATTCTGGTCCCTAGAACACACTCCTGCAGTTTGGTGGTAACAAACACTCGAACAGTTTTTTAAAAGTTATCTTTTTCAAAAGGTAAAATTTTGAACAGTTGTTCAGCCGGGTGTTGCATCTACATATAGTAAGTGATAAAAACGTGAGCCGAAGATGCATAGTTTTTTTACGATTTTATTTTCCAAATATTTGACTAGAAATTTGAATTAAGGTAAAAAAAAGTTACATCATTTCAACCGAGGCACTATTTTTGTCTAAATTCCAGTCTCAAGGTTAAGTCCGGTCTCGGGTACAACCCGTTTGACTAAAATTTCAGAAGATGTTGTTGCCATTAATATAAGTAACCCCCCAAGAAATTAAGATTTTATGCATATAATGAAAACAATTTTCTGAAGGGTACTTTACCCCTCTTCTTACTCATCTTCAAAATTGAGGAGACTTTTACAACGAGACTCATACAAACTGAAAACGATGGAAAGATAAGGGCGCATACTAGGGGGCTCTGAAGTAGTAAGGGGGGGGGGGGTAGAATTCGAAGATAATGGGTGTCATTCAGCAGCGGTGGGGTTGGAGAGACGCTCCGGCTGGAAATAGACGCACGATTTAATTCGGGAGTTTGTTTAGCGCGTGGCCCGCGGAGCTCCTGTCGTGTCGCCATCCCGATCCGAAGACAAATTGGCCGCGGTTTAATTGGCCCCGCTTGACGGCCACGCTCCGCGCCGGGCCCCCTTGACCGGGCTCTGATTCTTGGCTTTCGCTCGACAAGCGCTGGGTCCCTCCAATCCAAGGTTCTACACACTGCACTTACAGGCCGATTATTGAAATGAACCTGCTGCATACTTCAGCTGGAGAAAAAACAAGCGGGAAAGTTCTAATACTGTCGTATTAGAAAAGCGCTCAGGTGTTAGTCAATGTATTTAGTGAAGAAAGGAAGTATAAACTCCGTCGACTTGGCTGGGAAATGGAAATAATCATCAGCTGATAGCAAACAAAGGTTACCAAGGAAACCGTAAACGCGTATTTTTGTTTCCCGAAAATGAGCTCACCGTTGAGCTCATCAGGCGCGTTTTTTTTAGGCTTCATTTGAGTTCAACGATCAATTTCGATAAGAGTTACTCTACCGCTAAGAAATTTTCTTATAGACAAACGATCGAAACTACCTGCGCATTACGTTAAAAGCATAAAATAAAGTTTTCACAGCTTTATTTATTTTAAAAATGGACCCCCCCCCCAAAAGCCTACACATCGATGAGCTGGTGCGCCATTTAAACGCATTAGCACTAGTATACTAGTACTCAGAGGCAAGTCGAAATCAAAAAGCGCTGCCTATCGGCTGAGCGCTTAATAAGTGTTGCTTCTAATAGGTCGTATTCGATACATCTAACGGGTGAGACTGTATCGATATCGATTGGTTCAAAACATAAACATAGCCTTAAAAGTCAATTGGATAATCCAGGGCCGGATTAAGGGGGTGGCCACGTGGGCTGCGGCCCGTGGCGGCAAATTTTGTACTTTTTTAAAAAAAATCGGATTGTACTTTTTTAAAAAAATCGGATTTTGAAAAAAAATTACAAACGAGAAAATATCGCTCATTTCCTGAGAGTATAGTAATTTCTAATTTTGTCGTCTTTCAGCGATACAAGAGACAGCACCTTTAATTAGTCGAGTTAAGAGAGAAACCAAACACGCAATTTGGCCTGGAACTTAGAGAGAAATGATGACGAGGACTTGAGATGAAAAGGAGAAGCCCTCGGCGCGGCGGTCGGCATGTAATACATATTAGCACCTACAAGACTGCACGAATACTTCACGCATTGCATCAGACACAGTGCGGTCACTGCGGTCAGCGTGAAACGGATAGCGCCTACAAGAATGCATGAATACTTCACGCATTGCGCCAAAGACAGTGCGGTCAGCGTGAGCCGCTTAGCGCCTACAAGACTGCGTGAATACTTCACGCATTGCGTCAAACATGGTGCGTCCAGCAGCGGTCGGCGTGAAACGCATAGTGCCTAAAAGATTGTCAGAATACTTCACGCATTGCGCCAAACACAGTGCAGTCTGCGCGGCGCGGCGGCGGAATTTAAAATCATTCAACTACATTTATGTATGTTCTTTCATAATTTATTCGCTCATTTCTTATGAATGAAAGGCCTTGTTCACACAGAGATAGGTTTACGGAACTTAACTTTCGCGCAAAGTTCCGTGAACTTTTTTCTAGTAGTGTTAACAAGGCTTTCCCAAAAAATGTGTCTAACACGAGTAAACGCGTCTTATGCACCCCTCCCCCGCTGCCACGTTCACTTGATGGTTTTTATTGATATTTCAAAACGAATGAGAAGGAGGCGGCAAAATACAGGCGGCCCATGGGCGGCAAGTAGGTAAATCCGGCCCTGGGATAATCTGATGGAACGGTTTTTTTGTGATACGTTTTAGATTCGTATGACTACAAATTGGTCACGAGTAATGAACTTACGACGAATTTTCCCTTTTTCAGCTTTTCCGACAAACATCTTTCACTTTTTGTTTGAGGTTATGTTCTATTGTTTTGAACCAAACGATACATCGAATACGAATAATCGAATATCACCTATCGAATACGATCCATGGGACCGAGCTTAACAGAAAGGAACCACCCGTGCACATAAAGTTGAGACTGAGAAAAAGAGGTTTGAAGTTTTATTTCTCCAAAAGGCTTAATGTAGAAAATTAACACCCCTCTTAACACAGACTATTTTTTTTATCTCAACATTGAGTTTTTGGCAGGGGAATATATACGACTGGTGGGACTCAAAAAATTGACTAAAAGTTCCTAAAATTGGCAATAGAAGACCAATTTGAGAACTTTCCTGTACCCTTAATCGGAAAGAAAACACGCATTTTCTTCATTTTTCCACCCCCTCATTTTTCTTTCTTAATGGGTCTGTTAAAAAATTGCAATTAAATTTTTCTTCTCCTTTCTCCGATAAATTTTCTTTTAAAATTGATTTTCTTTTGTAATGCAATATCACCATTTCCTTTACGAGTGTGAATCTTGTGGAGACTTTTTATCTAAGGCCTCCTTCCCCCATGAAAAAATGTATAAGATACGCCTGCTGCTTAAACCTCGAGAGGCAGGCAGAGTTACGGGAAGACTACAGTGCTGAGCCTGAGGGGTTAAGAACATCTTTAGGATGATGGGTTGGTGTCAAATAAAGTGCGTGTTCTTCAGGAAGACAAAATCGTTTGCCATTTTTAAAATAACTGCAGTCGCGGGCACTACAAGCGCGAAGCACGGAACTGCACGTTGCAAATGTTCCTGGATGTGCCAACGGAGCATCAATTAGTGTCAACGTTGCGTTTCAAGGCATGACACCATAAATCAGCGTGGCTCAACGTTACAGTGAGGTCAGATCGGGCAACTTTCAGCAGAATCGATCTGATAGGAAATCAATATCCCTCATTCCGTGCTCATGGTAAATCCTCAGATTTTAGCTCCGTGTATTGCCAGCGGTTCAGTATATTGTAAACTGGAAAAGAAGACGCTTGGATCTAGATTCCAGACTTTTGAAAACAATAACAAGAAAAAGTACTCTTGACTCAATCGGATTTTTGCGTGAAACAAAAAGAAATCCGCTTAAATTGAGAGGCTTGGTTCTCCATTTAAGCAAAATCCGATTGAATCAAGAGTATTTTTTCTTGTCGAAGATTTTAAGAGTCAGGAATCTAGATCCAAGCTACTTTTTTTCCAGAGATACCTGCATTTCTATAATTGTCGGTATGCCGTTTTAGAAAAACTGAAAATGTCAAGCTACAGGCCGTATGGATGGTTGTACGAAAATTAACCTTGAAAACCTGAAAATAAGTTTTAAGGTGGTGCTTTCAATTTTTAACTGATTTCGGTTTATTATTCATGGTTAACAAGGTGGTAAAACAGTGCTGGGTTCACCCAATTTTATAGTGAAAACAAGGCCAAAACGTTAAAAAATTTCAAAAAGAGTCAATAATTTTGAGCATGTCCGGATTTATCTACTCGCCGCCCATGGGCCGCCTGTATTTTGCCGCCCTCCTCTCATTCATTTTGAAACATCAATGAAAACCATCAAGTGAACGTGCCGGAAGGAGAAGGGTGCATAAGACGCGTTCACTCGTGTTATACACATTTTTTGCGTAAGCCCTGTCAGCACTACTGACAAAAGTTCACGGAACTTCGCGCGAAAGTTCAGTTCCGTGAACCTATCTCTGAGTGGACAAGGCTTTTCATTTGTAAGAAATGAACTAAACAATTAAGAAAGAACAAACATAAATGTGGTTTAATAATTTTAACTTCTGCTGCCGTGCCGCGCTGACCACGCTGTGTTCGGCGCAATGCGTGAAGTATTCATGCAGTCCTGTAGGCGCTGTGCGTTTCACGCCGCGCCGCGCCGACCGCTGTTGACCGTACTGTGTTTGACGCAATGCGTGAAGTATTCATGAAGTCTTGTAGGCGCTAATATGTGTTACATGCCGACCGCCGCGCCGCGGGCTTCTCCTTTTCATCGTAAGTCCTAGTCATAATTTCTCTCTGCGCCGCGCCGCTCAAGGCCAAATTACGTGTTTGGTTACTCTCTTAACTCAACTAATTAAAGGTGCGCAGTTTTTTGTATCACCGAAATACGACAAAATTAGAAATTAATGTACTCTCAGGAAATGAGAGATTTTGTCACCTTTTCTTGTTTGTAATTTTTTTCTGAGTCCGATTATTATGTACCTGCATTTAAAAAAATTGTAAAATTTGCCGCCCCCTAATTTTGCCGCCATGGGCCGCGGCCCATGTGGTCACCCCCTTAATCCGGCCCTGATTTTGAGCTCTAACGAATATCAGTACAAGATTGAGGGAGAAGAGTGTTCAGCTTAGGCAGGTATAGCAGCAATATCCATGGTTATATTGAAAACATTATTTTCACCATACAGTTTAAAGTGATTTGCCAGACGATTTTTCAAACGAATTTCCCTTAGATAGCGATGGATTTTTTTATTTTTCCATTAGATTCATTAGAAAAAGCGCCAAACCAAACGGAAGTGTGGTGGTTAGAATTTTGCAGTTCAAAACTCATAGTTTCGAATAACATCTTCTAAATAGTCTTGGCTGTCATGTTCAGAGCACGAAACTTTCGCATTGTAACGTGACCTTACCCCTTTTTTGGCATACGAATCAACTAGACGTCTTACATTTCATTCACTTGGGTACTAGAAAGAAGTTCCAGTCGAGGGCCAGAATTCTCCTTTGGATTTTGAGTATCTGACCTGACTCGACATAATTTGCTCTACCAACTGAAAATATCACCTTTGTGGGCTAGGGTCTCATTTTCCGTGGACCTCCAGATTTCCTCATAGACAGAGGTATTACACATAAATTGGTGATGACTGATACATGATATTTCAGCAAATTGTTTCAGCACACAGTCACAGTACTAAATTTGTTTAACTACTTTGGAAAATGTAAAAGCTGCACTCCTAAATGGCACTTCTTCTTTTTTGCAGAGTGCAAGATTTGCAGAGTTTCTCAAACACTCTCCCCCGGGTATCATCTTTTATAAAATATGAAAATTTGTGTACGAAAATTGGCAATGCATTTTAATTGTTGCACTGCTCTTGAGTTGGAATTTCGAGTAAATTTGGCGCCGTGCGGTCGAGACAGGGGGCTTAAGGGACTCGCAAGATGAGACGCACCCAGTCTACATTTCATCAACTTAAGAATTAAAATTGTATTTTTCCTCATTTCGGCACGAACACCCCATTCCCCGACCATGGTCACTATTTCACGTTTTCCTCACAAGATGCGCTCTCAATGAAAACGCATCTTTATCAGGTTCAATTATTTTAAAAATATAATTTCGTCTCCGGCTTCGTATAGGTAAAGAATCATCGTTATTTATTTTAGCCGCCATCCACAAATACCGCTATATAAATTAAAACATCAACCAAAAATGGCATTCGGCACTTTTCATATTTCTCACCCCACCCCCCCCATGTCAGATAATTGTCGTGCACCTCTAGATCCTCCTTTATACTGTTGCGCTAAGGAAGAACGCCGTATGAACATTCAAGAGTTGCAATCAGAGGCAGCCCTCTATATTTTTATGTTGCCTATAACTTCCTTTATACTTAATTACAGTGTTAGCTTCAATGCTCCATCATGGTTGTTAGCTCAGAAATATTACATTAATTTCAACATTTTCGAAGGAATTTTATCTGTAATTTAGCTTATTCTTTCTCCCCATTTTCCTTTTTGTCTCTGGAGCCCCTCAGCATTGAACACCATGTTTTTCTCCTGCTCCTTTTCAACTTTTTCTGATTTTTTCTTTTCTTTTTCAGGGAATAAATCGGAACCGTTCCGAGGCAAATGGAGTTGATCGATTGTCAACCTTAAAATGCGAAAAATTTGATCCCTTAGCAGGTATGTTCATAAATTTTTTGTCATGTCTTTCCTTTGGATGCTGTACCCACATCAATGGCTAATGTCAAAACATGCGTGTCTCCAATTGAAACGTTGTAAATCTCCACTAAAATTGTAATTTATATATTTTATCTCCGAAGAGAGTTAATTAACAGTTTTTCTGAGAGTTTCTATGAATTTTAACCACTCACTTACAAGTATTCATAAAAAATCTTAAGCAGACATTTTTTGAAAGTTTTCTTTTAAACAATAAAAAGCAATCTGAGGTATTTAATCGTTGCAATGGAGATACGCATTGTTCAACATTTGTCACCCATATTTTTAATTTTAAAGAAACCTGTTGGCAAGAATATCGGACTTGTAATGATACTGTTATTTGCATAGCACTCACTTATTTTACAAAAGCATTTGCAATATTTTATCTGTTATGTGTACAATTTGTAGAATATTAAGCAAATAAACAGACAACTTGTTCAGAATGTAGTAGTGGTAATATGACGAATTTATTTTTAAGGTGCCTTTACATAAGGACCATTTACACCTCTGATAAAGGTTAGATGAGGGTTTTTAAAAATACAGAGTGTGTTGCATCAGTAGAGCGGATATATGGTGGAAAAGAACAAGTACAGAAAACTTGTGTTCCTCATCAAATCCATAGAACTCTGTTGTACTGAGTTTGATCATGCAGAGAGATTCGCCTTAACTTTGCTGGATAGGCCGAAACGCACACTTACGTGTTTAAATAGTTGTATGGCTAATGAAGACGGTAAACATACTTGATCTGTAACTTATCCGCGTCTGTGCAGTCCCATACTATGCTACAAAAGAGCACCCTATAGCAAGAGCCTTCTTTTTATAAGATAAGACCAACCGTAATAATATTTTTGCAAGTCGAAAAAGTTCCATTATTGGTAAATTTGTGAAAAGCATCCAATCTACATCATTCCTTTGACGCGTGATCCCGTACAAACCTCGATAGGAAACTCAGCAAAGAATAATTCAAAGTACAAAATAATTATGTCAGCATGAAATATACTGACTCAGCGTGATGTTTCATTTGACTCCATGAAAGTTTGGTTTTTTGCGGAGAGAAAATATTACCTTGCGGTGAGCTAACCGTCACCTTGCGGCAAGGTATCGGCCTTGCCACCCTCTTCGAGCCCTATCCGAGCCCTCGCCGGGTCGGTTCGTAGAACTTAACGACTGGGAATAATTATGCATGGCAACGTCGGAGACGAAAATCAAACCCAACACGGGGTATTTCCCGATGCTGTGTCGCCTTTTCCGCGCCCTGCGTCTGGATTTGGGTCTACAGTGTTGTCATACGGTTTTATTCCCGGTCGTCGAGTTCCTTGAACTGGCTCGGCGAGGGCTCGGATAGGGCTCGNGGGGGGGGGGGGGGGGGGGGTTCTAAAATAGGAAAAATTGAATTGGCGTATTCGGAAATCGCTATGTTCTCACTTATGAATTGAATTTGAAAATGTTCAATAGGTGCAGTCTTTTACATTACATTGTGAAAACATTCATTGTAGTCCATTCTATAGGGAAGGAATTAATCGGAATCGTTGAATTGTTTTTCAGCATAATTTCTACACGACGATACGTAACTACATCTCAACTTAGTAAAATTTATACTTTTAGCTTTTATTTTTACCAAAAAGAAGTTAAGCACTTTCTGAGTGAAAGAATCCCTGATTTTTTTTTCTGATTAAACGCAACAATTGGCAAGATTTTTGACACAAATTGCACAGTCATTCATACTCCGGTAGGACCTTGCATTCGTGGAATCAGTCTAGCAAGCTTTAAATGGATTACATTTTGGTACTTACGTTTTTTTTTTGTTTTTTTTTTTAAACAGAAACGAACAGAAATTGTTTTCCTTAATAAATTGCGAAATGTATAGTCCGAAAGAAGCTACGTTCTTCCGTCCAGGAACCGACAAAATGGACGAATTTCTGCCGAACGGAACTACGTGCATTAAGACATGAGCCCTAAGATACATAAGAATACATGCATTACAGGGCTCACGTCATAATGCACATAGTTCCGCCCGGCAGAAATACGTCCAAATGAGCAAGATACATGGGACAGCCTAAGAGTTGCTGCTAAGTCAGTTGCCAATCGCGGCTATTAATTCCGAATAAGTCAAAATGAATACCGATTTGTCCGCGTCATTTGTCCCGACAATTTATGACGCGAAAATGCTGATGGAACACGAGGCCGCAGCAGAACTTTTGGCCGCGCCTTAAATGGGATCCCAAAGGCGCCGACTTCTCTCAAAAGTCCACCCGAGCGACATCCCCCATTCATTTGTTGCGCGTGCATCAGTGTAAAAACCGCTTCCGAAACTTCTAACACGAAAAGACCCTTACTTACTTACAATTAGACAGGCCTTAATGCTATTAATTCATACTTGATAGCTCATCATCCCACCCCCTCCAGCCCGCCCTCCCCGCAGCTTCCTTTTAATTGTTTTTCCGCTGTTTTCATAGCCGCTTAATGGCGGCCGCGCGGAGTGCGTCCTGCGTGCAACGCTCATAAGTCGACATATAATTGAATCCGGTGTTGCCGGTTGTTGTGGGTAAAACGCGCCAACTCCCGCTTGGAGCAGCGCGGAGGAGGCGGATTTTAGCGGGGCATCTAGTAACGCCGATTGAATCAGGGGCGCAATTAATTATCGAGCTCCGTTTGATCTGTCTTTGGATTGCTCGTCTCTCAACTCGGGTATGGACCCGCGCTCCTCCGCGCCCGAAATGCACCTCAAACGATGCCAAATGTAGCTAAAAATTCAGTTAATTTTTCAAGCACTGAAAAAAAATATCGGTGTATTTACTAAGAAAAGGGTAAAATTACCAAGAATTCAGGGTTCTATTTGATCCCAGTTTTTTCTTGGTAAAGTTACCATTTATGAAATTGGTAATTTTACCGAGGTAAAATTGTTGAACTTTCTCGGTAATTTTACTAGACCTTGGTAAAAACGACGATATTTTTTATCGACTGTGGTAGAATTACTGAGATGAAATGGCAAAGTTACCGGGAATTGATTACCAATAAAAATGGTATTCTTACCTAAAAAAAACTGTGAAAAAACCGGTTTTTACGTAAGCTTACCAGTCTGTCTTGGTAAAATTACCAATAATTGGTAAAAAAAGTGAGATGGTAAAGGTACCAACGTACCTTGGTAAAAACGCCGAGAATTTTTTTTCAGTGTTACTACCGGATAGCAGAGCTCCCATTCCATGTCCGTCGAAAGTTCCGGGATTCGGAACTTTTTCGTTCCAATTTCTCCCACTTTATGACGGTCAAAAGTTCCGCGATCCCTTTTAGATTTTTTCGAAAGCTCCCAGAAAGTTCCGGAAAATGCAAAAGATCCGGAACATTTCAGGAATTTCAAAAGCTCTGAGAAAAATTCCGGAAAATCTCCAAAGTTCTGGAAATCGGAACTATAGTTCCGGGAAATGGGAGCACTGTCGGATAGAGTGCCTGTACATGAGATATGTTAACCCTCTATGGCACGAGGGAATTTTGAATCTCGGATTCTGAGGATGCAAATCTATTTTGTAGCTTGCATAAAAATATAGGGTACCATTTTTTTTTTTTTTTGAAAATGTAAAATTTTTAAGAATCAGTTATTCAAAAAACGAAAAACTAAAAAAAATTTGCAAAATCATGCCACGGAGGAAAGGTCAAATTTGATTTAGAATGTTGATTTTGGAGTAAGTTTTTCTTGTGTACAGAAAATTAAAATAGAGACTCTGAAGTAATACATCTCACTCTTAGGTTCACATGGAAAATTTGCAGTGCATAGATTTTAGTGATTGGAATAAAATCGTGGAAATTAAATTTTCACACTGTGAAATGGTTGTTGACCAAGTTGATCAAAGTAAATACATTCTATTGCCAAAATTGGCTGGCTAAGCTGTATAAAGCATGGGCATTGATTAAAAAATCGTTTTTTTTGGCTTGCAGTTCGATTTTTTAATCAATTACCATGTTTAAACCAAAGTGAGTTACCTGGAAAGTTTACCAAACCTGTGACTGTAGGTTCACCGTAAATTGTAAGTTAATTAAAACATTTTACATAAATCTGGCAATAAAAGATGGGCTCGAAATAGGCGCGCACTGCAGCGGCTACACGCAACATTAAAACTATCTCAACTTGAGATGCCATTAAGAAAACAACTCGAATATTTCAGTTTTCAGTCAACGGACGTGTGGTTTTAGATGCGCTTCTATTTTTTATTTTTTTAGTTTTACTCTGTTAATTTTGCCTCTGGGGCTTTCCCACGTACGCGAACACCCACAAACTAAACTGCGCTGCGGGAAATGTGGGATGACCGCATTGATTAAACTTTAGCCCTCTGGTTTAGAATCCAGGCATGCGGGTGGAGCAGAGTTTTTGAAAAAAATTAAAAAGATTTCAATATAGTGGTAAATTTCCGTAGACAAGCTAATCAATATTCAAAAATTAAATGTGAGAATAATCTAAAACTAGGAGGTTGTGCCCCTGGACCGTTACGTGGCACAACGACCCCCTCCCCTCCTGCAAGGGTGCTTTGCGCTCTCTACGCTGTTTTGTTAAGATTGAGGAGTGAAATCCAGTGGCAAAGTCTATTAAGTGGAAACTACTGAAGGAACTGAACACGAGAGTTTCCTTGGTTCTTGAATTGAACAATTATTGGAGAAGATACGACAAAACGATCTATTCTGCTGAAATACTTGTGTTTAAATGGGAAATGCAGTCAAATGACGTCACTAGGAGGTGCATTTTCTCACTTTTAAATCTATATCTTTTAATCTTTGTTTTTATACTATTCCTCAGGGCCGGATTTTCCTACTTGCCGCCCATGGGCCGCCTGTATTTTGCCGCCCCCTTCTCATTCCTTTTGAAACATCAATAAAAACCATCAAGTCAACGTGCCAGCGGGGAAGGGGTGCACAAGACGCGTTTACTCCTGTCGATCACATTTTTTGGGGAAGCCCTGTCAACACTACTAGCAAAAGGTCATGGAACTGCGCGCGAAAGTCAAGTTTCGTAAACCTATCTCTAATGGACAAGGCCTTCCATTCATAAGAAATGAACGAAAAAATTATGAAAGAACAAACAAAAAATTTGGTTTAATGATTTTAACTTTTAACTAACTGATTTTAACGCGCCGCGCCGCGCCGACCTAACCGTGTTTGGCGCAATGCGTGAAGTATTCATACATTCTTGCAGGCCCTATCCGTTTCACGCTGACCGCACTGTGTTTGATGCAACACGTGAAGAACTCTTGCAGTCTTGTAGGCGTTAATGTGTTACATACCGATTGCCGCGCCGAGGGCTTCTCCTTTTCATCTTAAGTCCTCGTCATCATTTCTCCCTAAGTTGCGCCGTTCCAGACCAAATTGTGTGTTTGGTTTCTCTCTTGACTTGACTAATGAAAGGTGCTGTCTCTTGTATCATTGAAAGACAACAAAATTAGGAATTACTATACTCTCAGGAAATGAGAGATTCTGTAGCCTTTTCTCGTTTCTAATTTTTTTTCTAAATCCAATTTTTTTTATACACTTACATTTAAAAAAATTGCAAAATTTGCCGCCCCCTAGATTTGCCGCCATTTGCGGCCCATGTGGCCACTCCCTTAATCCGGCCCTGCTATTCCTCATATCAGAAAAAAATATCAAAAATACCGTGAAATCAGCTTGTAATGGTCCGCAAAATATCCTTCCGCTTTAAGCACTTTCAGATGAAGCAATACAAAATTTGCATGGAAATTCTCCATTATTGTTACTTCTAAAATAAGAGTCTGACAAATTGTTTGCTTCATTTTACAGACACGTACGACAAGAGTGGGTTCGCGGACTCCGTCAATGGCACGACATCAAGTTTGGATTGCCTCTCTCTGATCGTCGAGAGCATCAGCTCTAAAAAACCATCATCATCATCGCCGTCATCATCCTCCAGCGGAAAACAGTCTCCAGACGACGCGACTAAGTCATGACCTAAACTGCTTTATTATGAAAGTAGGATGACTTTCAAGAGTTGCAACATGAAAATTTGACACTTGCATCTTCAACACGTTCGGGAGATGTTTCAACCTTGCATGCGATCCGAATAGATAGTGTTCGATAGTGGTTCGATGTATCGTTTGGTTCAAAACAATAGAACCAGAGACAAGAGACCCTCCGCTGGCCTCTTGGCTACAGATGGAAGCTTTTACTTTCGGGGATTCAATGATTCCTTATGAACAATTATAAGAGAGCAATAGTTATCATACTCTTATTTTGGCTGTTCTGCCGTGCTAAGGAAAAACGCCGTAAACCTTCAGGCGTTGCCAAATTTCCTTCGATAAAAACTGAATTTACTGGGAAAATTGTGAATATTTTTTTCCAAAATTTTCAGACTATTTTGTACGCAATTTCATCTAAAAAATCTGAAAATGTAAAAGAAAAATGTGCATAAATATCGTCAAAAATACATATTTTATCGAGGGAAATTTGGCAACCCTCGAATGTTCATACGGCGTTCTTCTTTAGCATGGCAGTGTTGACCTATCTACATGGTGGATGATGAGCTTCGGGTGACGTCATGAGCCAAACAAGTTTCCCAAACTTCGGCCATTTTTGGCTTGTTTGCAAAACGAAACTGCCAACACGTTGTTAAACATCAACCACGTAGGTAAGTCAACAGTATACTGCTGTGCTAGTATACGTGCCATAGGTATGGCCCAATAGTTGGCTTAAACATTTATGTTTCTATTTCACTTCTTAAACCTTATTTCTCATATTTTATTGTCTTCCATTAACCATTTCAAGATACCAAGCTCGATATTCATGTACATTTGTTAAAGGCTTCAGCCGTCTAGAGCTCTTTGCTCGTAATCGGGTTTGAGAAATCAGTCTTACATGTAAATGTACGTTTGAATGGAATGATACATTAATGAACAAAACTCAAGCCTTGTTACATGAATTGCCAATGATACTAACTTTAGCTTGTCCGCAAATTAATTTGTATCGACCCAGAAATCCGCGCTTGCTATCCCATGGTCTTGTTACCTTTCATGACTCCAAAATGACTCTTTTTATTATACTTATAATTTAAATTTTCTTATATGAGCTACTTAATGATTCCTTGTACAATTTGTAATATTATTCTCATTAATCAAGAACGTAATTGGAATAATATGTACAAGATGTATGCGCGACTGATTAATCTCTGCTTGTATATCACAATAAATGGTTTTTATTATTTTTATATTAGAAGTTTTTATCTCATGACAAATTGAAGACGCTGCAAAACATACGAATAAAGTATGATTTGAAAGACAAATAATAATTATAGAATTAGGCAAAATTAAGACTCCCAGAACCGAGGTATAAATAGAGTTTGAGACGTTTCAAATTTTATGTCATATTTGATAGAATGAACCAAATTCAGCCTAAGTACATTTAACGTTTCCCGACTTTTTCTTATGCCTCATTTTTTTTAAAATTAAGAACTAAAATAATAGCTTATAGCTTTCTGGGAAAAAATTAAAACATGAAAAAAAATTAGCCAACGTCTGATTTAGAAAGCTTTATTTTACAGTTAAACTAGCTCATATTGTTCTCTTAAAGGACCCGTATACAACATGAAAGTCTGATACCTCCATTCCAAATAAATTTCTTTTCTCTCATTCGAAACTACATATATTTCCAGCAAAACTACTACCAGGAATTTCCCATTGATGGCTATAGCACCAAAAGTTTTGAAAGGAAGGAGGGATCAAATGTGGTCCAAATCGTCATTTTTCAAACGGAAGAACTTAAATACAGTGCCGGATTTTCCTACTTGCCGCTCATGGGCCGCCTGCATTTTTCCGCCCCCTTCTCATTCGTTTTGAAACATAAAAAAAAAACCATCAAGTGAACGTGCCAGCGGAAGAGGGGTGCATAAGACGCGTTTACTCGTGTTGAACACATTTTTTGGGAAAGCCCTGTCAACACTACTAGCAAAAGTTCACGGAACTTTGCGCGAAAATTAGGTTCCGTAAACCGGCGTATAAGTGCAGTTTTTGAAAAAAATTGAGATATTAATGATCTCAAGTAAAACTAGCCCTGATGCACATCTTGTGAAGATTAGCTCTCGAATTCCAATTTTTAAGCATCGAAAAGTCAGTTTGAACCCTTTTTCCGCCATAAGGAATGAGGATCCATGTAATTTCGAAACTTTCGATGCGTGATTCTCGGCTTGGAAAAGACTACACTTATGCGCCTTGTCCTTCGAGCCCCTCAAATATAGTTAGAAAATATACGTCCCCTCTCCCGTCCACTCCCTCCACCGTTACTACTTTTGATTCATAGATGCTTTCATTACGGCTTTTGATGGACTCATTTCGCCAAAATAGGCAATGAACGGAAATATGGAAACACCGAATTTTAAGTGGATACGCAATTTTGTTTCAATTCATGATCGTCAGTTGTTAAAATGCGAAAGTCCCCCGACAACGTTCTCCTAATAACTTAACAGCCCGTAGATTTCAAAGCAACTACTTTCAGTCTCGCTGGAGAATGCAATCGCCCGACAAGAAATGGTTGTCCGATGAAAGTTATGATTCTTTCGCCCTTTGAACAATTTTGAAGTGCATTACTCTATTATTCGCGTGAAATTTTCTGGCATGAGACCAGTGACGAAACGTAAATCATCGGTTATCGATATATCGAAATTTCCCATTTGAATCTATGGTAAAGAATCGATTCTTAGATTTTTCGTTGCAACGTCCCTGATAATCGATCATTTTCCCAGGTTTAGATGGTACGTCAAGCGATCTATCGCAAGGCATGAGACCAGTGGCGAAGTGTGCATCATTGGCTATCGATAAATCGAAATTTCCCATTTGAAGCTATGGTGAAGAATCGATTATTAGATGTTTCGTTGCAACGTCCCTGATAATCGATCCTTTTCCCAGGTTTAGATGGTACGTCAAGCGATTTATCGCGAAGCATGAGACGGGCAACGAGACGCCCCCAATTCGCATCCCGAGTGATCATTTATTCACGGCCCGAAGTAACTTCCAGAACAACAGATGATGTGTTTGTGACAAAGAGCACCGGCATAAAACAATGGTTAATGCGTGAGCGGTGGGAGAGGGTGAAGTGGGAATTGGAGTCTGCGGGATTGCCAAGACAAGAATAAAAGAAGCTGCGGTATTTTTTTTGATGCATCAATCGGGCCTGTCGCAAACTTCAGCCAGGGTAAAGAGAAGGGTTGTCTCTTGCAGAAAATTGCTGAAAAATCACGAACAGTTATCAACTTCTGACAATCGCATTAAATTAAAAACTTAGGAATCAAATTCAAAACTGTTAAAGTCGCTATATTCATATCTCCAAAATCACTGATGTCCAAAAACTTTACATGTTAAGGAGATTCGATGGACGCCATATTTTGTGTCAGAACGGCATGCGATATATCGCATCAATTTGTTCCGTTTTTTCAGCTACTCGTCATTTTTCTCGAATTTTGAGATTGCAATTCTGTTGTCAGGAGACTAACGCACTTACTTACCAATTATAACAAAGAAATTGAACGTTATAAAGGCATGGTTTTTTTAGAGTGCATTCGAGTGCAGTTTCGATATCAGTATCGAATGCGATGTTTTCTCTCTAAAAAAACCACGCCTGTATTACGTTGAATTTCTTTGTTAAAATTGGTAACTGAGTGCTTTAGTCTCCTGACAACAGAATTGCGATCTCAAAATTGGAGAAAAATGACGAGTAGCTGAAAAAATGGAACCAATTGATGCGATATATCGCATACCGTTCTGACACAAAATATGTGCGTTAATCGCAGCAAAAATTGACCTCTCACCTCCGCAAGTCACCCCAAAAACCACCCGAAGGAGAGAGACGCGCCCGAAGGAACTATTTCGATCCCGTTTTACTGCAAAGGATAAATACGCACAAGATCGCAATGCTCTCGGTTCCTTTTCGTAAAACGCAATCCATATGCACTACAATTTGCAATTCGTAACGATGATTTCTGGCTCAGTTTAGAAACAAGGTATGAACTATTACTTCCGCCATGTACATAAGTGTTTTTTTTGATGAGCCGGAAATTGTAGTTCCTAATTGCAAAATGAAGTTCATGTGGACGTATTTCTGCCAAACGGAACTATGTGCATCAAGACATGAGCCCTGAGACCCATAAGAATATATGCATTACAGGGCTCACGTCACAATGCACATAGTTCCGTTTGACGGAAACACGTCCATAAGATCAACGCGCTAATTGCAGCAAAAATTTGACCTCTCACCTCCGCAAGCCGCCCCGAAAACCACCCTCAACCACCGCGAAGGGAGGGAGACGCGCCCGAAGGAACTATTTCGATCCCGCCGTGGGAAGCTCACCACGAAAGGAGGGAACGCC